TGCCCACCAAACCCTTCCAGTATTTTCTGTTGGTCATGGGAGTTCTTTGTGCCAAGTTTAGTTCAATTCCATCGTTGGTGGAGTTCAGAATGCTCTTTGAGTGAAGGTGAACTATAAATCCCAGCAACTACAACTCCCAAATGACAAAATCATAATTTTTCAGTGATGGTCACTCCTTGTGTTGTGAGACATTTTGTTGCCAAATTTGGTGTGATTTCGTTCATTGGTTCTCTTGTTTTTAAGGTACTCATTATGCACAAAGCATTTTTATATATATAAGATTAGCATAGCACAATATCAATAACATACAATCCCATATTGTACTATACCAGCATACTGTAATATTATTAGTAATATTACATGTAATATGAAATAAATAATTATTATATTGTATTACATTATTTTATTATCAATATATGTGTATACAATATATTATATTATTAGCACAGCACAATATTAGTATTATGTATTACTATATTTTGCTATACCACTGTACTGTGATATTATTAGTAATATTATATGTAATATTAATTATATAATTATTATATTGTTTTACATTATATTATCAATATTATATGTGTATACAATATATTATATTGTTAGCACAGCACAATATTAGTGTTACATATTACTATATTGTGCTATACCACTATACCGTAATATTATTAGTAGTATTATATTGTATTACATTATAATATTATTATCAATATTATATGTATATACAATATAATATAATATAATATAATATAATATAATATAATATAATATATAATCTTTGGCAGGCATCCTCAGAGGTTGTGACTAAATCCTCCCTAGACCTCTCCAAACTACAAATCCCAGAGTTCCATAGCTTTTAGCCATGACAATTAAAGTGAGCTCACACTGAATTTGTATTGTCGAAGGCTTTCATGGCTGGAATCACTAGGTTCTTGTGGGTTTTTTCGGGCTATAGAGCCATGTTCTAGAGGCATTTCTCCTGACGTTTCGCCTGCATCTAAGGCAAGCATCCTCAGAGGTTGAGAAGGAATCACTGAATTGATTCCTTGTCTCTAGGAAAACTACATCTCCAGTGTCAAACTACTGTGCTGTCAAACTACTTCGATTCTGCAGTGTAGAAATACCCATGGAAACAGGATATGGTTGCCCTGTTTAGTGGAACCCTCACTCGTTTGTAACTCGTTACTCCGCAGCCAGTAACGCGTTACATTAGATGAGTTACTGCCTTTCTCTCCTCCAAGGCAGCAGACGCCTCCTCGCTGGTGCTTTGTTTTGGAAGACTGCGTGAGTGACGTCACAATGGCCCTGGACCAATGAGGGGCGAGAACGGTCTGAAGCCGGGGATATAAAAGGGGCTGCTGCAAAAGCAGTCAGAATCGGAGAGCAGAGGCACTTTTGGTAGGAGAGTGAGGTGGTGCCTTTCATTCAGGAATTTAGCAGCATGCCTCTCCAGGTAAGAAAATAAAGGAGCTTATTTTTTGGGGGGTGATTCATCTCCACTGCACAATTGAATGCTGTTTGACAGCACTTGGCTCAATGCTGTGGAGTCCTGGGAGTTGTAGTTTTCTGAGTAATTCTTATTTGAATGCTGAAAACCTTGTCAAATTTCAACTCCCAGTGTTTCATAGCTTGGACTCAGGCCATGCAGAGGGTTGGTTGATAAACTGCATTACTTCTCTGGTATAGATTAATTCTGATTTTCTAAAGTTTTGTTCCCATATAAGACTATAATGCTTTATTACCTGAGCTAAGTCCCAGGACTGGCTCTAATTTGACAGGTTAACAGTGATATGGGATACACTCTTCACATGCCTAAATACCCTAAATGTGCCAGATACTGTGTGAGCTAAGGAGGGCCAGCCTTGGTTAGTGCTTGGATGGGAGACCACCATATAACAGATGCTGTAGGCTATATTTCAGTGGCAGGAATTAGCAAAACCACCTTACCTAATTAAACACTATGAAATTTGTAGGATGGCCTTGGAGGCACATATTGATGATGAGCAAATGGGTTTGGCTATTATGGCTTTGCATTCTCTTACGCCCAGGCTTGTAGACACAGGAGTCACATACCAGTGCTATTCCTGTGGTGCTGAACTACAACTCGCATCAGCAGTTGTCACTAAGATCATTAGGAGCTGGGGGGGGGGTGCAATGGGTTCAACCCTTGTGCCGGCTGAACTGCTGACCTGAAGATCAGCAGTTTGAATCCATGAGATGGGGTGAGCTCCTGTCTGTTAGCTCCACCTTGCCATGCAGGGACATGAGAGAAGCCTCCCACAGGATGGTAACACATCCAGGGCGTCCTCTTGGCAATGTCCCCGTAGACGGCCAATTTTCTCACACAAGTTTCTCAAGTCGCTTCTGACATGATTAAAAAAAAAACATTTGAAAGAGCCGATCCACTTTAACACACTCCACTATGGACTGCCTTTGAATATGTTTTGTATGTAGTAGAGGGTAAATTTTACATTGTACTGTTTTGTGAGCCACTTTGATCCTCTGTTAAGAGAGGAAAGAGGAAATAAATATTTTTATAATAATACATTTAGATGGGGAAGGAGAAGAGTGTCCTCCAAATTTTGTTGGACTGCAACTCCCATCATCTCTGGCTTGCACAGCCACTGGTGAGGAATGATGGGAAATGCAGTCAGTACCGTCTTTTATTTATTTATTTATTTACTTCATTTGTATACCGCTTTTCTCAGCCCTTAGGCGACTCAAAGCGGTTAACAACAGCAACAGCAAAAATTCAATGCTAACATCATACAAGCCATTTAAAAACAATTAACACAATAACACACTAAGCAATTAAACATCAATAAACATCTCATTAGCATCTCATAATAGAATCATGATCCAAACTCATCATCCGTTGTTCCGTTTTCCTTTATTCATATCTTCATTGCACTGCCTATTCAAACGCCTGTTCAAATAACCAGGTCTTCACTTTTCTCGGAAATGCCATTAGGGAGGGAGCCGATCTAATGTCCGTGGGAAGGGCGTTCCACAGCCGAGGAGCCACCACTGAGAAGGCCCTGTCCCTCATCCCTGCCAAACGTGCCTGTGTTGCAGGCGGGATCAAGCAGGGCCTCCCCACAGGATCTTAAAGTCCTAGTGGGTTCATAGGCGGAGATGTGTTCGGATAGGTAACTTGGGCTAGAACCGTTTAGGGCTTTATAGGCCAATGCCAGCACTTTGAATTGTGCCCGGTAGCAAACTGGTAGCCAGTGGAGCTGGCGCAACAGAGGAGTTGTGTGCTCCCTGAGTGCCGCTCCTGTTAGTATCCTGGCTGCCGAACGTTGAACCATTTGAAGCTTCCGAGCAGTCTTCAAAGGCAACCCCACGTAGAGAGGGGCTTAAGCGGCTTAAGCGGCTGAGGGGGAAAAGGAAAGGGCCTGAGGCTGTTAGGAATGGTGGGAGTTGAAGTCCAAAAGCTCTGGAAGGTCCAAATTTGCCCTAGCCTGATCTAGAGTGTTGCATGTTTCATGCCTCGGTTTAAAATGGTAACCAGGGCTGAATGCATAAGCTATATATAACCTCATCTTACTCTTCCTACACAATTAATTATGCAAAGGAAATTAATTAGTGATGGTTACAGGATGAAAAAAAGGTTGTGAAATTGCTTGGGGCACCCAGAACTTGCCTTGTCCCATGGATTTTGGGATTTCAATTTTGAGCAATACTAAGCCATGGCTTTCAGGGATTTATTTGGAGAGTGCATTTGGCTGCCCTCCTTTCATGCTTTCCCATGCTCTGCTCTTTGCATCAAACGTGATCTTATTCCGGGCACAGTATTTTAAAAGCAGGGAAGCTTTTGTCTACCCGCTGAAAAAGGGAAATGTGTAAGCCTTGTGTTTCTCAGCATTAGGTCTCCTCACGCAGGTTGCTAAATGTGTGGAAGTAACTGATTTGCAAAGCCCGGATCTCTGCCATTTATTCTGCTATCCTGGCAACATCGGCATCCTGCAGAGGCAGTGAGGGTTCTGTTATAATCCCTCCCCCCAGAAGCAATCAAAATATAGATGGAAACTGGGCCGCTTGACTTAAACTGCCAGGACTGTGGCTGAATCCCCCAAAGGAGCTTTGAGAGCTCAGTATGATTGTTGTATAACCTGCACAGACTTTGCAGCAATTCTCCCAGAAAGCAAGGAACAGAAGATGGCCAAATTCAGGCCATGACTGCATCTTGCAGATTAAAAATCAATATTTGGGACATCGTTCTTAAAATGTCTTCCAGATATAAAATGTGCCTCAAATGAATACAGTGACATTTAATGTGATTTGGTTTTGAAATCATTTATGTTTTGAGTTCTTGAACTGGAATCTATGAGTTCCTAGTGGGACAATGGATGAGCATCAGATGCCTTTGAACTGGGTGCAATTTTTTTCCGTTCCCTTCTCTTTAATTTTTTGTTTGCTTTCTGGTCTTTTCATGGGGGATGAGGCAGACTTTAGGAAACCAATTGTTAGGTGTGATGCTTTCATTCCAACCCATATATTCTCAATGCAATAAAATGCATTTTAGTAAAGGTAAAGGCTTCCCCTTAACATTAAATCTAGTTCTGTCCGACTCTGGGGTTGGTACTCATCTCCATTCTTAAGCTGAAGAGCCGAGATTGTCCGTAGAGGTCTCCATGGTCATGTGGCCAGCATGACTACATGGAGCACCGTTGCCTTCCCGCCAAAGCGGTACCTATTGATCTACTCACATTTGCATGTTTTTGAACTGCAAGGTTGGCAGAAGCTGGGGCTAACAGAGGAAGCTCATCCCGCTCCCCAGATTTGAACTGCCAACTTTTTGGTCAGCAAGTTCAGCAGCACAGCAGTTTCACCTGCTGCACCACCGGAGGCTCCTTTTTTGTGTGTATAGATATAGACATTGCTATATAAATATAGTGTGTTTTCTGGAATGGGAACAGTGGCTTTGATCAGATTCTCCATGACCCTATAAAAAAGTTAAGGATGGCTGGTTTTAAGAAGGAATTCACAGCACTCAAATATAAACCAATTTTAGGTTTGTGTCTTTAAAACTTCAAAGCAGCTACCTAAGATGCTGAAAGTCTTTTGAGTTAAGGTTCAGCATCTTGGTCCACTCCTTTAAAATTTGGAATGAAACTCAATGTCAGTTCCCTGAATCACAGATGTGCAACTGGCTACACCTAGGTTTCCATTTTGGGCTTGGCATTCTATAGAGTACAATTTAATACACATGCCATGGTCTATTTAATAGTAGCATGTTGTTTACATTAGTGCGGTGGTTCTCAAACTGTGGGTCCCCAGGTGTTTTGGCCTACAACTCCCAGAAATCCCAGCCAATTTACCAGCTGTTACAAAGAGGATTTCCAAGGACAGCCTCCTTTGTTTAGTGTAACTTAATCTCATGTTAACTGCTTAGAATTGCAACAAAATGAAATTTAAATAAAACAGTTAAAGTAGTTTTTGATAATAGCATAGCACTTATGTGCTTGCTTTCTTAAAGTTAAAAAAAATCCCCAAGAGACAGTTTAGCATCTTAATGCCATAAGATGCATTCTGGTAGTTATGCAGAACTTGCTACTGCTTGAAAACTAAGCAGATACCAACCTTAATAAAATCACTTCATGTTTGCATGCATGCAGGATTGATTCCTTTGCCAAGAAAAAGCATTCTGTTATTGTATGGTAGGACCTAAGTTGAGTCCATACTTACAGACTCCTTAGTAGTGTAGACCAGTTTTTCTCAAATTCCAGTCTTCTGGGTATTTTAGGCTTCAGCTTTCAGAATCCCTTTTCATTGACCAAAGTACCTGATGCTTCTAGGAGCTGAAAGTTTTAGAGTCACTGGTACAGATCCATTAAAATTGTGAAAGATATATTTTCTTGTGAAACTGTCTTGTTAACTCAAGTGAAAATCAATAGTATTTAAGTTGGGGTCTATTGATTTTTCAATGAATTTGTTCTATGTCCAATATTATTCTAATGTCTGTTGTTGCTGATAACTCAGTAGAAGAAACAAGAACAGAATAGCATACTAGACATGAATGTGCTATGGCTTAGAATAGGGTGGCATAAATGGAATACGGTGTCATGGCCATGACACTGGAAAAAGAGAAGAATGGGCCCGATATTTTGTAACATCACTGTATCTCATAATAGAGTACAGTGGCCCATTGTTTCATATCAATGATGTATTATACTTGTTTCTTCTACTGAGTGTCGTCTTTGTGGGCTAATTTGTGGAAGTATTTTTTTATGTGGGAGAGGATGTGGATTTTGATTGGTAATTTGGACGAGTGTATCTTTGACACCCAAGAATCTGATGGGCCTTTTCAGAAAAATACATGTAAACCTATATACAACACAGTTATGCATATAATTAATATTGCATTGGAAGTTTATATCGTTTGCATAGACAAGTCTGGAGTGCAATTTTTTTTGCAATTAACAATTTAAAAAACTGAAATTTGACTTTCAAATTGACTGGAATGAAATTAAGGGAATGGGAGAATCATTGTGCCCAGATTATATAATGGAATTGAGATTAGTTTCATTGGGTTTACTTGGAAGGAACTCCTGCTGGGCTGACTCCCAGATAACTTGGTTTAAGATTGCATCCTAAGGAGATTTTTTTTTAAAAAAAGCACACTGTGATAACACCATTGTATGTCTATGCTTGCTACTCAATAATGTTAAAAGATACTTAAGTCCTTTGGTGCAGAAGCCAGTAGTTACAATAGTTATCTGAAATCATGCAATCACTTGAAAAACACGTCGATATTGGTTTTTAATATAGTGACTTCACATTTTAATGCTGACAGCATAGTGTATTGGTTTGGGTGTTGGACTAGACTTTAGTGACCAGGATTCAGATCTCCGCTCAGCCATGAAAACTCTCTGGATGATCTTGGCGGAGTGTCACATTCTCACCCCCAGAAACCCTTGAAACTTCCTAAGAAAAAAACATTGTGTTCTTTAGAAGATAAACCTTATAAAACCAGTGGAATTCAGATTCAGAACCCTCTGTTTTTAAGGAGAATTAAGACTTGTAGCAGAGGAAAAAATATCTGTACACACGGATTACTTCAGCAGGATATGATCTTCCAACACACCTGAGGACATCAGGCTCATTGGAAGGCTCAAGTGGAATGGCTGGGAGGCTGCCACTACTGCTTTCCAGCATCTGGTGGCTGTTGCTTTTTGTGTAAAAGTAGGTTTGGTCTAGCTGATAGGTTGTTAGGAAGACAGCATCCACAAAGCTCACGAGGGCCCCCTTTGGTTGAGCTCATCTTGCAAGATTACCAAGGTAAAATAACAGAATCTGATCTCTGGGAGGAAATCTGGGATACGAAAGTGGGAATAATTTATGTTTTTATTCAGTAACACTCCACATAGTTAGGTGTATGTCCAAATTGGGACTGCCTTGTTTTTGCTGTGTGTTTTCAAGACATTTCAAAATTATAGGAACCCTATCATGGGCTTTTCTGGAGCTTGGTGACTAGTTCAAGGTCACCCAGTAGATATCAAAGGTTAAGTGGGGAATCAAACCCTGGTCTCTTGAATCTCAAACCACTACACCGTTCTAGTTCCAGAATTACCTTTCCATCTATAAATGTCACTTAAAATCATGACAGTCTTTCATTTTTTTAAAAAAAAAAATCTGTTTAACATGCTGCAGAGAAACTAAGCCTTACAATAGGACTGAAATAATTTGTCCCTTTTAGTTAGTAATACTAAAATTGTGCCAAAAGTTATCTGTCTCGAAGGGCTTATTATGTTCCAAAAAGAATAACATTTTGCAGGTCTGCTGATATGCCTTTCTTGCATTATGAGGCTGAGAATAACCTTTACCCATGAAGGTTATAAATTGGTTAGCTTGCCAACAAACATGGACACAAAACTGCAACCTACTGAGAAAGCAGATACTGAATACAGATGGAAGGATGCCAGGCGCCTTCCATAGCTGCACTGCAGCTTTTCCACACACTATTCTCCTCAATCTATGAGATACAAGAGTTTCACTGCATAGACCAGCTGGTGCATAGAAAGTGGCTGAACACTCGGTTCTCTTGTTCTGACAAGGAGGGACAGGACCCCACACCGCCACTCCCTGGTTGGAAGGGCTCAATGAATTATAGTCAAGTGCCTCATTTGCCAGCACCACAGAATGTTGTCCTTTAATGCAGCTGCCTGGATAATATAATAATTTTATTTGTGTATCCCGCTACCATCTCAGGGTTGCTTACATGGGAACTAGTCCAGTCAAGCAAATTTTAAAACATAAAAACATAGCACAATAAAGTTTATAAAAGCAACATCATAAATAACATAAAATAACATCAGCAACAGCTGATAGCCTGATGAAGTAATCAAATACTAAACTCTGGAGAAAAGGGCTTGTGCAATAAAGTTGTAAGGATTGGGGCAGTTCGAAAAAGTGCAGGAGCCAGTTGATAAATTAGGTCTAGAAGGGTAATATCAGTTAGAACACTATATATAGGGAACAGTAGTAAAGTGCAGGAGCCAAAAATTGAGTTGTGGTTGAGGGGGCAGAATTATTTAATGAACTGTTTAGTCAAATGCACAGTGGAACATCCATGTTTTTGGGCCTTTGTGAAAAGTGGATAGGGTGGGCGCCAGTCTAATCTCCCTGGGGAAAGAGTTCCAGAGCTGGAGGGCCACTACCGAGAAGGCCCTCTCCTTTGTCCCCACCAACCAAGCTTGTGATGGAGGTGAAAGCGAGAGAAGGGTTTCCCCAGAAGATCTTTGAGCTCGCACAGGTTTGTAGAGGAAGATGTGAACGCGAAGATAGGCAAGTCCCAAACCATTTAGGGCTTTGTAGGTGATAACCTCCACCATGAATTGAGACCGGAAACTTATTGGCACCCAATGGAGCTGTTTAAACAGGGAGGGTTGACCACTCCCTGTAATTTGCTCCAGTTAATAAACTTTTGAGAAAAAATAGTGTCTGCATTGGCTCAGCCTATTTATTTAAAAATAGGGTGCATGAGTGATGCCTTGCCTTAAAATATTATCCACAATCTCTTGTAGCACCATTCAGAGCTTCACTTTCAGGTTTTGAACAGAGGTAATATTAAAAGTTCTGCCAACTCACATACTGCAAATGTGAGTACATCAATAGATACAGCTCTGGTGGGAAGGTAACGGCGCTCCATGCAATCATAAATGCCACACGACCTTGGTGGTGTCTACAGACAGTGCCGGCTCTTTGGCTTAGAAATGGAGATGAGCACCACCCTGCAGAGTCAGACAGGACTAGACTTAATGCCAAAGGGAAACCTTTACCTTTGACAGTAAAAAGACGAATATTTTCCTGTAGATACAGATTAGACCAGACTAGATTCTTTCCTGTAGGCCTCATGTAGCCATCAAGCAAATTCTCTCATCCCTGGCCCATGCTTAAAATTGAATAATAATGGAAGGGGGCAAGTGGAAGGAGGCTAGACGTGGATGTAAGTATTCAATAATGAAAATAGTGGCATTCAAGAAAACACCAAATATCAAACCATTCATGGCAATTTTAAATCAAAATGCTTCTCCTGTTTTGTTTTACTATATTATTTTTCTTTCTCATCAGGCTGACTTCGAGAGTATAGCGGAAAAAGTTAAAAAATTAAAGACCAGGCCCACTGATGATGAACTAAGAGAACTGTATGGACTCTATAAACAAGCCACTGTGGGAGACGTTAACATTGGTAACTTTATACAAACCCCATATTATTGTTGAGACCTCATGTACACATTCACACGTGCTTATATTGAAATATGATTTGCATTGTGTCTTTTAACAGAGTCTCCTGGGATGCTAGACCTCAAAGGCAAAGCCAAATGGGATGCATGGAACCTTAAGAAAGGTTAAAATTAATGTAGATTTTGTTTAAATTAAAATCTTTTTTGATAGTCAAAGACATGGTAATAACGGCTAGTTTTTCACTACAGGTACGTCCAAGGAAGATGCCATGAAAGCTTATATTTCCAAGGCAAACGGACTGATCGAGAAATATGGACTGTAGAATTCACCAAGTACCTTCACTCTGATTAGCTCAAAGACCTTGAGCATTGCTAATGTCCAGTCGAACATTAAACTTTTATCATACCCAAGTTCTTTAAATTGACACTTTATTATTCTGGTTGTATTTGCTCACACTAAATTTTTATTGGACACCAAGTTAGTTTGTTTTTTCAAAACTGACTAATAATGTTCATGGTTCAAATAACCCAAACTTTCCTGCCATTCTCTTCACTACTATACTTTTGTGAGTATTATACAAAGACTAATTGGCATAGTTCTCTAATGTAATTTTATTATCTTTGGCTACAATAGCCTGTGTTTGTTAAGATGAGAATTAAATTTAGTATTAAGTGGCAATAGGAGTTGGAAATGTAAAAACACGTATTTTAAGATTGTTAGCCAGACAGAGTAACAGACTTAATTGCAGGAAGCATCATGGAAAATTTTCAAAACTTTTAGCCCTAAGTCCTATTCATAGGGTAACTGTAAGTTGAAATTTACTTGACAGCAGTTAACAACGAATGGACTATCTATAGCACCACATATTGGGGTGTCAGTAATGGTTTATTTTGCTCCAAATGTGACCAGTAAGCCTCATCCTGAGCAGATTCCTAGATTTCCATATCATTCTAGTGATAAACCCAAGATGCATATGAAGCCAAGGTCAGATAGTAGCAAGTTTACATGAGAACTGATGCAGAACTGGGAAATTATCATACTTTGTGAGCAGACTTTCCATGTTGTTCCTTAATACCCTGAAAGGACCAAATCTTGCCTCATATTGGTAGCTAAATTGGAATGGTCCTGGTTAATACTTGAATAAGAGGACAGCCATTGAAATCAGGTGCCGTGGGCCGTATTTCAGAAGAATGAACTAGGAGCCCCGGTGGCGTAATGGGTTAAACCCTTGTGCCAGCAGGACTGGTGACGGAAAGGTTGGTGGTTTGAATCTAGGGAGGAGGTGAGTCTGTCAGCTCCCGCTTCTCATGCGGGAGACATGAGAGAAGCCTCCCATAGGAGGTAAAACATCCGGGCGTCCCCTGGGCAACATCCTTGCAGGTGGCCAATTCTCTTGCACCAGAAGCCACTTGCAGTTTCTCAAGTTGCTACTGACATGAAAAAAATAAGAAAGAACAGGCAAAGAAAAAAACCTACTGAGACTTCATTGCTTAAGAAAAAACGATAAAAATTCCCAGGTTTTCATAAGTCAACAGGTGACTTGAAGGCATATACATAAAACTGCGGATAGTATGTCATAAGGTTGAAATAAAGAGCTACATTAGGGTTGCAATTATGTTTGCTTTCAAGCAAAGTCCCTTTGACTAAACTGCAAAATACTGTAAACTATGTATGCATATTGTATAGGTCTGTGCAGCTCCAGTCAGCATGGGTCATTCTCACTATGCCAGTGGAACCCTATTGCTCTTGAAAGATAGCTTTGCCTCCTTAATAGGAAAAAGTATATTGTTCCTTAAAGAGAGAATATCAATGCTTAACACACAAAAGAGAATGTCAGATAACTAGAGCATGCATCAATATCTAGTACTATAAGATATTGTTTTTATGCAGACAATCGGGCTAGCCTTCATTTGATAATGGGTAAAAAGTGTGTGAGCTATTAGGGAAAATGAATGAGGCAAATGAAAATAATTCAAGTGACATGCTTGAGAATGGGAAACTCTTTTATCTGCCTTCCTGTTTGGGTGAGGTTTTTAATTTTAGGGATTAGTTGTATTACTCCATGTACTGCTATTTGCATAATTAATTTTTCATGGTATCTTGACCATCATGCTATTCACTCTTGGCATAATACTCAGGAAAATCTGAGAGTTGCATAAATCCTTTGAGGGAATAACAAACCGAGAATGTGTAAGCACTACAAATGTGATTTGATATGGTGCCAGCTACTCCTCTGTATTTTTCCCCAGTTGTGATGAGCAAGTTGCAACTGATTTGCTCAGCATATAGTCTTGTAATACATAAATACTATTTGTTTTTAAAATCATGACTTCACTTAGCATTACATTACAATGAATACCAGTTAGGCATGCCAGCTAATTTTATGCTTGTAAAGATATCAAACTATGTAATTATTAACCCAGTTCCAAAGAAAACCAAATCCAATGAACTCCTGCACCTGGAACATGTAAAATACCTATAACGTTATTTTTCTGGACCATGTAGTTCTTGAATTCTTAAACCTACAAGAAGCGTAGATGCCCAGAATAAAGTTCTCCGACCTGAGAAGAATTTGGAGTGAAACTCCCAGAATTCTTCAGCCAAGATTATCATTGGCCATGTCATGGATTACATTCTTGGTATCTTGGTTTTTATGCCTATTCCTGGGGTTATTTGGAGCTCTGATTCAGAAAATTGCATTGAATAGACCCTGTCAGCTCTAGTTTCTTAGATACAATTATCATGGTTTTCTATGGGTGAGGAGATGGTAGATGGGATAGGTTCCGTTATCTCACAAACATGAGCTGATGGAGGAAAACTGTTGCCATTTTTGGAATCAGCAAGTCAAATATACCCAGAAAGAAACACTAAAATGTGTGTTATTAGAGTTGTAGTCCAGATCTCTTTCAACCACATCTTATCTTACCTCTGAAAATTAGAAATGACTGTTGGTCTAATTGCAGAGAGAAAACACATAAGAATAGGTGCAAGCTTTTTGCAGAATACTCAGCAAAATGAAAATAATTTCCAAGTTAGGTATTCCTAACACACTATTTTGGCCCTGAACCAACATGCTTGTAACATCTAGTTCATTTATTCAGACCAAGTGAACGTATTATAGTATAAGAATCTGTTTGCTGAACATGCTCCAAAGTCTATTTAACAAAGACTTCCGTTGTTTCATTGATTTGCTTTCCAGAAATGTGTTTAGTAAAAAAAAAGTCCGGATAAAAAGGGATGTGACTTGCATTTCAAGTACAGTAGAACCATTCAGAGGATGGGGGACTTGCTGCATATTTATGCTGATGGTGCCTGCTTATTCTTTTCTCTTGCCAAAGTTATAGAAACGTCTGTTGCAAGGCTCTTTTAGTGTCACGACAAGTAACAGGATAGCCATGGGAATTACTTCACTGGGTAACAGGATGCTGATTTGCAGTTAATGTTGCAAAATAATTGAACACTCTTCCTCATAGTACAGGATTTCAGATAGTTGCAGTTCCTTCTCTCACAAAATCATTTATTTGTGAGGATTGTCCAGAATAAACACATGTGGATTTCATAAAAGGACAGAAATGTGCTTCCCACAGGGTAACTATTTTTAAACACTAAACTAAATTTTATATAAATTTTGATTTACCCTTCAGCAAGGGATTATGTTCTAAACTGCAACTAGAAATTGGATTGAGGTCACTATGGTTCTACTGACCTAATCCATGTCGTGCCTCTGCAAGAACCCTCATTTAATGTTTGATATTGCCGTTTTTAAATTGTTTTAAATTGCTTTTAAATTTTGTTAGATTTTAGCCATTCTTTTAAGCCGCTCCGAGCCCCAGGGGAGTGGCGGCATATAAGTCCAAATAATAAATAAATAAATAAATAGTTTCCCCCTTTTCAGCCCTTTTTAGTTAGAGGGAATTTGCATTTTGTGTATAGTTTTGTGGGAGCGGTCAGTCTAGATATCCCTTTTCTCTTTGAAGTCTCTTTGCCCTGCCCCTTTAAGAATCCCCTCAGGGACTGAGCCTCAGGCAAGGCACTTCTCATTCTTGTAGAAGTTAAGACTTTTTGGTGACTGGAAGGTGAGGTGAGAAGAAGGCTTGTAGGTCTACAAAGAGCATGTCCAGCTGGAACTGTATTAATGTCCAGTCAGAGCTGTATGAGCTGTATTCAAATCCAGTCAGAGTTAAATATTGAGACCATCGTAGAGACAGTTGAACACCATACAAGAAAGACACAACAAGTAGAAATATTTAAGAGCCTCAGTTTGGCTAGAACTGTGTCTATATCTCAAAGACTTTACCTCTCATCATAAAGTCTTTGTAGTGAGACTCAGGATGAGAAAAAAATCTAAAATTTTGTAATTAATAAACTCTTATTTGATTCAACTATATAGTCTCCAATCGGTTCCCTGCACAGCCAGTTCACCTTCCAAGTAGTTAAGACAGCATGGAGACAGAACAACTGTCCCAGTTTGGTAGTAATAGTTGCAGTTACTCCTCTGTTGTCCCACTTTTCAGTTGCATCTCTCCCTTTTCTATGTTCCCCCTTTGTACTCGGCTTACTTCAACTGCTGCAAACTGGAGGATCTTGCCTTCCTGTATATCAGATGCAATCGTTTTGTGTCCTGTCTTCCATAAGGTGTAAGCCCAAGTCTTTCATATTAGACTTCCAGAGAAGACTTTCACCATCTCTAGGGAATTGGTTCAATTGCCAAACCATTCTTGATGTCAAGAAGTTCCTCTTAATCTAGGAATCAGTGAGGCATTGCCAAATAATATGGCACGTTCAACTAGTTTCACGCCTTGTCATTGTGCTATTATGCCTATGGCACTTTCATTGAGGTGTTTATCAGTTTTTTGGAATTGCTCCTAGAGCACCTCTCACTTCTGTAATTACGGTTGTTTTCCTTTCCCAGAGGTCTTGGTTAGTGCTCAGCTTTTCATAACCCTTTCTTTCAAATCTGTCTCCTTTAGGATTACCTCATCTATAATCAAAATCTTTTTCTCAGACAGAGGTATGTCTAGCATATAATGTTTTAATTGTTCATCAGTCTGAAAACTTTATAAGATTTTTACTTTGCTATTTTAACAACTTGTGCAGGCTTTTATTCCCACTGGTTATTTGCAGGTGGCAAATCATATGTTTGCTCATATTTCAGTCTATATTGTTGCATTTCTTATATTCTGTCCATGTGCTCTTGCTGCATGAACCAATTGGGTGATCAAAAGTTTGATCTATCATCATTATTCTCCTCTGGTTCCCATGGTAGGAATTCGGAGAGCAATTTCAAACAGACTGACAAAACATGAATGAAATCCACATACAGAAGAACAGTTACAAAAAATGACACTACTTAGAATGTACCATTCATTTTCCCCAGTGGTATTTCATTGATATCCAGATTATTGGAGAGAATCCAAATCACCAGTGATCCCAATCTCTAGGCATTAACGCTTGGAACATTGTAAAACTTGATGATAATTATATTTTAAAGATTTCAGTTATGTGAACATGTTTGGGAAGATAGTATTTGAGCTTAAAATAGTTACAACAAAATTGGGAAATGTATAGCCCTTGGTCTAATTTTCAAACTACCCAGCAATCTTGACAACTCACTGGATACAGAAGTGGAGAAAGAGAAGAGAAAGAGGTTCAGATCAATGCCCTGCTCTCCTTTGGTTTCCCCACCATCCTCTGCTGAGTTCAGGCTCATCCACTGACAACATGCATCCCACATACTATTTGTACACACTACTTACAAGGGAACAAAGCCCACAATATTAAAAGGTTGTCCACTTGCCTAAGATATTGCCAAAAAGATGACATAATGCTGGCAATAATTGTTTAAGCTATGGATCATTATGAGAAAGATACAAAACTCCATGAGTCTAGGATATTCCTTGTCTCCAATAAGGCCTAAGATTGCATCATCCCTTGAAAATTATCCCTTAGAACCTGGTTTTGTGGATTTTTGCCACCCCACTCCCTTCAAACTGCCCCTACCCATCTTTTGGAGTTATGTGGCTGGATAATTAAAAATTCTGAATGGATTCTCTTTTCAAAACAAGGCTTCTTAAATGTTATGATATTTAACCATGCTCTTTTGGGCAGTCAGCCATTTATCAGATAAAAGATCAAAATTAATTTATTTCATTAGAGGTTTTTTCATAAGTAAATGCCTTTAGGATAAATACTTTGCAGAGATTAATAAATGTATTACAGAGCCTCTCCTACAGTTAATATTGACAGCAAAGTAATTGTTAAGTTGCATTATGTAAACAAAATGTTCATGATCGGTTATTATGGTGCATCTAACCATGCTTCCTTATAGATGTAGAAGTATTTACAGGTAATAAATCTAAATTACATTGCATTAGGTTTCATAAAATGTAATGAAATACTTATTGGAGAAGCACGTTTTAAATAAATATTATTGTATAATAGCCCAGTCATATTGAGAGAGATTTTCAGGAACCCCAGAAATGTATGCTGTTCATATACTGAATGTGTAGCCCCTGAAGAAAGCAAAGCAATACTATAAGGGCTGAAGTGCATTAGGCTTTTTACAAAAGAGGATAACTGTAACACCTGTTTAAAGAATAAAATACAAGCAGTAATAAGCACATGAAACCTATTTCCTCAGAAAGACGTGCGTATTTCCACTCTTCTTACCCATTGGATAGATGTCTGCCTGCCAGCATACATAAAATATATAAATTTAAAATGTAGGATTCTTGGAAGAAAATGCCCCCTTAGACACCTATCCAGACAAAAAGGGTAAAATGAAATAACTTTTAAACAAATACAGTAAAACTACCTACATGTCTTACTAACAATAGTAAAATATTAACATGGAGAGAGTTCTTTAAAAAAGTCAATTTCACAACAAGCCAAGTCTCATGTTGCAGTGTTTTTGTTAGTAACACAGGACTCTTTCTTGTTTTACTGCAACAAGAACTGCTACAACCACTGAGAAAGGCGGTGGTTTCTAAATGCTCAATGGAAGACATTCAGCTGGAAAACATTGCCATCTTCTGGCCAGTTCACAACTATACAATGTGATGCTGATTTATAGCATCAAATCCATCATCATCACTCCTGACAGAATATGATTGCCTTCCAAGTGGTATCAGGTCCGTTAATGACTATAGAGACCTATTCTGGAACTGCATCTTCTTTTGCAGTGAGGACATAGATTTCCAGGTGGAAATAGTCCCGACAAAGGTTGATGTGTCTTCCTCTTGACACATTTCTCCCTTTTGCACTCCATTCGTGCATCTTCGAATTCTACAGCACTTCCAGTTAGAACACTCGAGGGCCAGGGAGTTCTAGTTCTCAGTGTCTATGCCACAGTTTTTAAGGCTAGTGTTAAGCTCATGTTTAAATCAGTGTTGCTGTCCAGCAACATTCTGTTTTCCGTTCTTGAGTTGGGAGTATAGTAACTGTTTTGGGAGATAACAATCGGGCATTTGGACAATGTGGATGGTGCAGCGAAGTTGATGGCAGGGGATCATTGCTTTACTGCTGGGGGTATTTGCTTCTTCCAGCACACTGACATTGTCTGCCTGTCTTCCCAAGTGATTTGCAGGAATTTTTTTGGAAGCAACACTGATGGAATCGTTCCAGAAGTCAAGAGTTACATCTGTAGACGATTCACATCTCACAGGCTATAACAGAAATGGGAGGACAATAGCTTTATAAACAAGCATCTTGATATCCCTATGAATGTCCCGATCCTCAAATACTCTGCTTCATTTGGAAAAAAGAATGCTACACTTGCAAAGCTCAGACAGTATTGTATTTCGGTCTCGATGCTGACTTTTGTGGAGAGGTGGCTGCCAAAGTAGCAGAAATGGTCAACGTTTTCTAACATTACACCATTAAGTTTTACTTCTGGCATTGCGGAAGGATTTTTTTATGCCTGCTGGTAGAACACTTTGGTTTTTTTGATGTTCAGTAATAGCATCACATTCTCATGGCTGCTTCTAATTACAGACTCATTCTGAATAATATTTGCAACTAGAACAACTGCTGTTGTTTAATCATGTGCGTAGGGTATGGGCTTCAAACACTGGTTTTACTGAGTGCATATTCTAGATCTATACTGTTAATGAGTAAGATATAGGAACCACTATACACTCAATAAAATCCAAATGTGTGAATGTTAGAACCATAGCTGATTGGAATCAAAGACTATGGTAGAGTAAATGTTGGAACCTCCATCTGTCCCGCTTCCATGTCACCATTTTTGTGGTGTCCTAGATATATTTGTGGTTCTTGGCTGAGACTTCATTCTCAAAACCCCACCACTAGATACACTACCCCTCCTGAATTGCAGCTGCCATCACAGCCACTGTGTCTGAACGAAACTGTTCGAATAGCATTAGTATAGCATTCTTCAAAGCTCACGTGTATATTTGGAAAACCAGAATCTCCATACCTTTTTTTGGAAAAAATGACATTCACAACCATTTGAAAATCATAACCTTTTGTAAAAGTATGATCTTCCAGAGAAGAGCCAAAAACTCATTTGAGTAAAATCTTCTCTTCAGTGGTATATATCCACATGTAATTATGCAAGGCAATTTGATTCTCAGCTGTTAGACCGATAACCTGGTTGTCTCTGATCTATTAGGAACAGAGATTATGCCAATGCCCAAAATACAGGAGTTCTTCAGAAGTGTTCTTTTCAGTGCCCCAAAACCATCTACTCTCCCATAAAATATCTTGTTTCTATTTCATGCTCTCAAAGAGACAAAAGACAGTAGACGTCCTTAAAAGTAATATATCTGGTTTACTCACAACCACCATGTATTCAAAATACAGGTACATAACTTGCATGTCCAGTTACAGATAGGATTTGAAGTAGTTTCTCTGTGCAGATAAAATGGGGCATCTTTCTTATGATCTTAACAGTCCAAAGTCTAAAGCATCTCTGTGTTCTGTGCTCTAATGAAGTTTGAAGTCTAAAAAATGGAGTCTAAGCTCAGAGTAGTCCCATCATGTGGTCTGCAGCTCCTCCCACAACCTCAAGAAAACCAGAGTAAAAGGGAAAGCTGTATACCAAAACATATATATATATAATATAGTAAGCAAACAGGATCATATACAAACAGATTACTAGTGGAGGCTTGAACAAAGTTGTTTCCAACATATATCACTTGAAACAATTATTGAACAGTACTTGACGATTACTTGGAGTACAAAAGCTCAGGGTTACAATTCCAAGGCTTCTTTAACTCATCCAAATCCTAACTGACTTGAAAGTGCCTTACTCACTCTTTACCTATCTCTCTGCAGTTCTGGTTGATCCTGTCCTAAACAAGTTATTATTATAATTTTAAAATGCCTGATGCAAATCTTAACATTGTGAATCTCTGTTCAGCAGGTCTGAAATAATAATAATCTACCCAGCCATACAGTGACCAAGGCCTCATTGATATCCAGGAATAATTTTAAAATGCCTGATGCAAATTTTAACATTGTGAATCTCTGTTCAGCAGGCCTGAAATAATAATAATCTACCCAGCCATACAGTGACAAAGCATCACATTTGAAACTCCCAGCTGAAGCCACTCAAATGATAATCAATGAGGAAATGACAACTTTCAGTTTAGGTGCCATGCCCATGCTTCATTACAGACTCATTAAACTAATTAGCAGCAACAAGGCCCAAAACAAGGATTTAAAGAAAGAGAGCAGACTCTACATTGCACTGTATTCCAGGATCTGATCCTAGATTATCTTCTTATCCCAGATTATTTGGTAGTGTGGTTTTATATAATCCAGTTCAAAGTCGATAATCTGGGATCAGATCTTGGGATATAGGGCAATGTAGATCCAGCCTGAGACAAACTCAGATGTCAACTCTTTTTCTATATCTATTCTGACAACTCCTGATAATGTTGCCTATAAGACCCCATTTACACTGCCATATATTGCAATCTGAAACTGCAGTATATATTCAGTTTAGACTCATATAACGCTTACCTCAAATGAGGTGAGCCAATGGGATGTGGCCCTGTTAATGTTTTTGGACTGTGATTCCCAGTATTCCTCACCATTTGCTGTATTGGCAAAAAGAAAATGGGATTTGCAGTTCAGCTTCATCTGGAGCTCCATACTCTTCCCACCCCTGCCATCTATATAAATAAAAATGTAATGTTTGTTTGTGGGATTAACATAACTCAAAAACCACTGGGTGAATTGACACCAAATTTGGACACAATACACCTATCAGGTCAACAAGTGACCATCACTCATAAAAACACTGAAAAACACAGTGGAAAAGACTTAAAAAGCAAAAAAAATAAAAATACATTACAACGCATGCACAAAACCACATATATACAAATATACACATATATGCACACACAAAACATACACAGACTGGGCCACAGCAATGTGTGGCAGGGGACAGCTAGTAAAAGAATAAATGGATGCTGATCTGACTTCAGAAACAACAATATTCGGGCTGTAGCCTCCCAGGAGATTCTGTTCTGAAAGCAATTACTGTGGATCAAAAGGAGACAAGGAGAAACTGCCATGTTACAATTAAGGTCCATCACTGAAAGTTGAAATCAGGAAACTGGCTTCTTACCACAGTACACATGTTAATTGGATTACCAATTAACATGATGTTCATCACTTATATCAGCAATTAAGTCACTTGCCATGAAGTTGGTATTACAGTTAGTCCTCTGTATCCACAGATTCTGTATCCACAGCTTTAATAATATTTCTTTTACTGTCAGCCCCCAGCCCTAATTTTAGCATTTTAACATAATGGATACTATTTTACTTTGCCATTGTATAAAATGAGACTTGAGCATTTTGGACTCCTTCAGGTGCTGAAACCAAATCTTAGCAGATACCAAAGGCTCACTGTATAAACTGCTTAGGCAACAATTTGATGAATGCTCATTTTAATAAATATAACTATCATTGGCAGTAGTTTTTACATCTCATTTCCCTATCTAATCCTCTGTTTGTATGTGTCTTCAAGTCATCTATTGCCTTATGTTGACTCTATCAATTTAATAAGGTTTTCTTAGGTAAGGATTCAGAGCTGGTTTTGCCAGTTCCTTCTGTCTGAAACATCCAGCTCCTGGTATATTCATTGGCCACCCAAGTACCAACCACAGTTGATTATTATTATTATTTATTGTTCCCCACCTCTCCTCACAATGCAAGGCAAGAAATCGATGGAAAAAATATCTCTGCTCAGCTTCTAAATGTGAACAGGAGCCTCTTAGGTTATTTAGGCAGGTTTTGTAACTCTAAGTGTGATAAAAAATAACACAAATGAGTCTTTCGCTTTAAGTAGAAATAAAATGAAGTTCTATTCACTGTATACAAAACAAGACAGAAGAATTGCTCTCACCAAAATATAACAAAAACAATATCTTCGGTGAGTCCTCTTCAATCAACGGCAATATGCAGACATGTAACAGAATAATATACAGGCTCTCTTACTTAGTTGTCCGTAGAGTGACCTTGTCTTGCCGTAAGCAAACTTTATCTTCAGGTCGCTGCAGAACTGCTCCTGGCACAAAACACTTAGTGTGTCACTATATACAGGAACTAATATCACACTCAATTAACCCATAACAGCTGCAACAGAAAAAGCCCTGATCCTTACTATGACTTAGAAAAAGCCCATTGCAAACCCCTAGTAGCAACAGTAACCCTCGTGGCCAGAATCAAGCACAACCTCCAAGATGCCGAAGATGAGAAAAGCCTATCAGAAGCGCTATGGACTTAAGAGCATTTGCCTGAATGGAGAGGCTGCCTCTACAGATAAAACCGAAGCCGAGGATTACGTAAACAACACATTCAAGGAGGGTTATGCGGTGTATAAGTGTGTGGGGAGGGTTTATAAAGACTTAAAATAGTGTATAACTACTAAAATAATGTAGAAATATTAAAATTAATATAGCGTCCCTACTTCGCGGATTTTCACTTTTCACAGGTGGTCCTGGAACGGAACACTGCGATAAGTGTTGTCTGTTCTATCTCTGTATAACAGCATTGAATGTTTGCCGTATATGTGTTCTATGATTCGCCCTGAGTCCTGAGAGGGGCGGAATATAAATTACTGTAAATAAGTAAATAAATAGCTGCAATGTAAAGTAAATATGTCTAATAAATGCCATAATAAATATGGTCTAAGATGTCACAAGTCATCCCCTCCCCCTGCATACTCCCCGCTTTCCTTAGGAAACCACTTTACTTACTTACTTAGGCAATCCCTCATTGTCCGAGTAGGATAGTCTTCCAAGATCAGTGTACTAGTGGGTCCGTAGGTGACTGTGGAGCCCTATTGTTGATCTGCATCTTCTCCCGCAGTGAGGGCATCAGTTTCCAGGTGGAAGGCGATCTCGGTCGGGGTTGGCTTGACGCGCCTTTCTCTTGGCACATTTCTCTTTCTCCCTCCATTCGTGCCTCTTCACATTCTACAGCACTGCTGGTCACAGCTGACCTCCAGCTGGAGTGCTCAAGGGCCAGGGCTTCCCAGTTCTCAGTGTCTATGCCAGAGTTTTTAAAGGTTGGCTTTGAGCCCACCTTTAAATCTCTTTTCCTGTCCTCCAACATTCTGTTTTCCGTTCTTGAGTTCGGAGTAGAGCAGCTGCTTTGGTAGATGGTGGTCAGGCATCCAGACAACGTGGCAGGTCCAACCGAGTTGATGGTGGAGGACCATTGCTTCAATGCTGGTAGTCTTTGCTTCTTCCAGCACGCTGACATTTGTCCGCTTGTTTTCCCAAGAGATTTGCAGGATTTTCCGGAGGTGGCACTGATGGAATCATTCCAGGAGTTGCATGTGACATCTTGTAGACTGCCCACGTCTCGCAGATATATAGCAGGGTTGGAAGGACAATAGCTTTGTAAACAAGCACCTTGGTATCCCTACGGATGTCCCGGTCCTCTGTGCTTCATTCGGAAAAATGCTGCACTCACAGAGCTCAGGCGGTGTTGTATTTCAGTATCAATGTTGACTTTTGTGGAGAGGTGGCTGCCAAGGTAGCGGAAATGATCAACATTTTCTAATGTTACAGCTTAATTGTGTAACATTAGGAAACCAAGGGTGCATCTACACTGTAGAATGCCATTTGACACCATTTTTAATTGCCGCAGCTCAATGCTAGAACATCATCGGAGTTGTAGCTTTGCAAGGTCTTTAGCCTTTTCCGCTGAACAGCCCTTCCACACAGCTGAATAAAATCCCACATTATCTGATTTGAACTGGAATATATGTCAGTGTGGACTCTGATAACTCAGTTCAAAGCAGATCTTGTGCTGTGATATTCTGGGTTATATAGCTGTGTGGAAGGGCCCTCTATCCCAGAATATCAAGGTAGAAAATCCCACAATATCTGCTTTGAACTGGGTTGTCTGAGTCCACACTCACATAATGTGGGATTTTCTGCCTTGATATTCTGGATTATAGGGCTGTGTGGAAAAGCCTCAGCCTACAATCCCATTTAATCCAGTTCAAAGCAGATAATCTGGATTTTATACAGCGGTGTGGATGGGCCTGAAGTAGCCGTCGGGGCAGATCTTCTCATATGAGGCGGGCAAAAGAGAAGCCCTTTTGTTGACTAGGCCGCAAAGCCTGCTCTCGAGTTCGCGCAGCGCCAGCCGGCTCCGCCTCAGAGGCGGCACTAGGCCTTCTCCCTTCTCCTCCTCCTCCTCCTCCTCCTGTGTGGGCTCTGAATATGGGGTAAAGGTAAAAGGGAGGCCCCGAAAGGAGGGGAAGGAGGAGGAGGAGGTGGAAGAGCCTCCGCCTTCCCTGCTTGTTTTTCTGTCTTTGCTTGCAGCCGCGGTTGTTGTGGCTGGAGTTTGCAGGCCTGAGGAAGGAAGGAGCCCGGGCCCGGGAGGGCTATGAGGTGAGTGGGAGGCATGGCGGCCAAGTGGAAGGCGACGGGAGCTTTGCTCTCTCTTTTCCTCAAGGTGCCCGGGTCGCCCCTTTCGAGGAGGGGGCTGAGAGGCTGGAGGCGCCCACAACAGGGAGGCAGAAAAGGGACACTGAGTTCTCTAAGGAAGCTGGGAAGAGAAGGAGACGAGGTGACAAGGCGGCCCTGTTTTATATGTTTTGGGAAAGTGCCCCTTTGAGGAAGGGGAGAACTGGCGAACTTGTTTTCCTGCTGCTTCAGAGAATGGTGCAGGCCTGGGCAAACTTGGGCCCTCCAGGTGTCTTGTACTACAATTCCCACCATTCCTAACAGTCTCAGGATCTTTCCTTTTTCTCCCTCAGCTGGGCAGACTTGGGCCCTCCAGGTGTCTTGGACTACAATTTCCACCATTCCTAACAGTCTCCGTACCTTTCCTCCCCCCCCAAAACTGGTGCAGGCCTGGGCAAACTTGGGCCCTCCAGGTGTCTTGGACTACAATTCCCACTATTCCTAACAGTCCCAGGACCTTTCCTTTCCCCCCTCAGCTGGTGCAGGCCTGGGCAAACTTGGGCCCTCCAGGTGTCTTGGACTACAATTCCCACTATTCCTAACAGTCTCAGGAGCTTTCCTTTCCCCCCTCAGCTGGTGCAGGCCTGGGCAAACTTGGGCCCTCCAGGTGTCTTGGGCTACAATTCCCATTATCCAACAGTCCCAGGACCTTTCCTTTCCCCCCTCAGCTGGTGCAGGCCTGGGCAAACTTGGGCCCTCCAGGTGTCTTGGACTACAATTCCCACTATTCCTAACAGTCTCAGGAGCTTTCCTTTCCCCCCTCAGCTGGTGCAGGCCTGGGCAAACTTGGGCCCTCCAGGTGTCTTGGACTACAATTTCCACCATTCCTAACAGTCTCCGTACCTTTCCTCCCCCCCCCCCAAAGCTGGTGCAGGCCTGGGCAAACTTGGGCCCTCCAGGTGTCTTGGACTACAATTTCCACCATTCCTAACAGTCTCCGTACCTTTCCTCCCCCCCCAGCTGGTGCAGGCCTGGGCAAACTTGGGCCCTCCAGGTGTCTTGGACTACAATTTCCACCATTCCTAACAGTCTCCGTACCTTTCCTCCCCCCCCCCCCCCCCAAAGCTGGTGCAAGCCTGGGCAAACTTGGGCCCTCCAGGTGTCTTGGACTACAATTTCCACCATTCCTAACAGTCTCCGTACCTTTCCTCCCCCCCCCCCCAAAGCTGGTGCAGGCCTGGGCAAACTTGGGCCCTCCAGGTGTCTTGGACTACAATTCCCACTATTCCTAACAGTCTCAGGAGCTTTCCTTTCCCCCCTCAGCTGGTGCAGGCCTGGGCAAACTTGGGCCCTCCAGGTGTCTTGGGCTACAATTCCCACTATTCCTAACAGTCTCAGGAGCTTTCCTCTCCCCCCTAAGCTGGTGCAGGCCTGGGCAAACTTGGGCCCTCCAGGTGTCTTGGACTACAATTCCCACTATTCCTAACAGTCTCAGGAGCTTTCCTTTCCCCCCTCAGCTGGTGCAGGCCTGGGCAAACTTGGGCCCTCCAGGTGTCTTGGACTACAATTTCCACCATTCCTAACAGTCTCCGTACCTTTCCTCCCCCCCCCCCCAAAGCTGGTGCAGGCCTGGGCAAACTTGGGCCCTCCAGGTGTCTTGGACTACAATTTCCACCATTCCTAACAGTCTCCGTACCTTTCCTCCCCCCCCCCCCAAAGCTGGTGCAGGCCTGGGCAAACTTGGGCCCTCCAGGTGTCTTGTACTACAATTCCCACCATTCCTAACAGTCTCAGGATCTTTCCTTTTTCTCCCTCAGCTGGGCAGACTTGGGCCCTCCAGGTGTCTTGGACTACAATTTCCACCATTCCTAACAGTCTCCGTACCTTTCCTCCCCCCCCCCCACTAGGCTAGGCCTGGGCAAACTTGGGCCCTCCAGGTGTCTTGGACAAATTCCCACCATTCCTAACAGTCCCAGTACCTTTCCTTCCCCCCCCCCCCCAAAGCTGGTGCAGGCCTGGGCAAACTTGGGCCCTCCAGGTGTCTTGGACTACAATTTCCACCATTCCTAACAGTCTCCGTACCTTTTCTCCCCCCCCCCCCCCAAAGCTGGTGCAAGCCTGGGCAAACTTGGGCCCTCCAGGTGTCTTGGACTACAATTTCCACCATTCCTAACAGCCTCAGGCCCTTTTCTCTCCCCCCCACTCCCGACCACTAAGCGGGAATTGTCATCCAAGACACCTGGAGGGCCCAAGTTTGCCCAGGCCTGCACTAGTGGATTTGTACTACAGGCACCTGCATTACGAATAAGATCAATTCTGTAGGTTTGCTCTGAAGTTGAATTTGTGTGTAAGTTGAAACAGGTACTTTTAAAATGCGACACCAGCCAAATATATAAGCTTTGTATAGAATAGGGAAGGGTGAACACCCTATTTTGCTGCCTGTGCCCCTGTTTAGAAGACTTCAAATCACTTTCTGTCCCTGGGATCATTGGATTTTGAAAAAAGTTGGTTGAAGAAACAAGGATTGGTGATAAACCTTCAAGTGTGACACTTTTCCCCATTATAACTTTTTCAAGGAGTGAATTTCCCTTCTAGGGGTAGATTTCTCTCACTTCCTGTTTATTATTATTATTATTATTAATAATAAATACTTTATTTATATTCCGCTCTATCTCCCCAGAGGGACTCAGGGCAGATTCCAAACATAAAAGGCAAACATTCAATGCCCAAATACAACAACAATACATGCACAATAACAAAATTTATACAACTCAACATAGTAATACGAATTATAACTTAATAAACTAAAATTGAACAAAAAGCACAGTCTGTTATAACAGACATAAGACAAAACATCAAATGGAAACAGTAATTTCCCATTTCTTTGGGGCAAATTGATTAATCATTGCTCAAGAGATCTATTGAGCTGGTGAGGTGGGCAGGGCACGGATACGGATGGCAACTATTTTTTTAAGATATTCTTACCCCGCCTTTCTTCACAAGCAGACCCAAGGTGGCTTACTACAAAATAAAATGTACAGTACAAAAGGTTAAACATGGTTGTAATCAAACCTTCTTTAAAACCTGTTACCACTTCCCCCGTATAATAGTCGATATCCAAACAATTAAACCTTGAAACTGGTGTCTCAGCATTGTTCTTAACTAGGAGTAGTCAGGTGGGATATGTTTAGCAAAAACAAACAAACAAAAAAACCGCACACAGCTATCTCAAACAAATCCACACACAGAATGATACAAAACTAAAAAAAAAATCAACTGGCTCTCGTTCGGTTTCAGTTTGTGTGTATATCTGCCTTGGAATGACACCTTGAATTTTGTAGGTTTTTCTTAGTCTGGGAAAACTTAAGTGCTTTTTCCAGTACCTTCTTCTGAAATATAGCTTACAATACCTGATAGTCTTTGGTGGTCTCCCATCTCAGTACTATCCATGATTGATACTGATTAGCTTTCAAGGTCAAGCTGTAGGCACACTTAAAACAGATGAGTGCATTTGTGGTGTTTACTACATTTCTGATGCACGGGGACCTTATGGGGTTCTCTGGGGCCGAGATAGTGTAACTTGCCCAAGATCATCCAGTGGGTTTACATGGCTGAGTGGGGAATTGAGTCCTGGCCTCTCAAACCACTACACCACTCTGATTCTTGGTGTTTAAGTACAAAAATATTATTATCTAATGACTATATAAGCTCTAGAGCCTGTTTTATTGAAGGCATTGTGCCATAGTATGCAGGTTAGTCAATCCAGAACTCATTTTGCTGTCATGGATCAATATTGCAAACCCATTTACACCTGAATACTGATCCAGTGTATTTAAATTCATGGTTATTTTTTAACTACGTATTTAGTTCTC